ATGTTGTCCATCTGAAATAAGCAGTGTTTGCATTTATTTTACGATATTTCAAAGGACGTCGTAATTTAATAATCAATTGTTCAATACGATAAGAAAAATTTACAATGTAAATACAAAAGTTTACAAAACTTTCGTAAATACAAAAAATAAATATTTAATTATTTAGTAATTACAAAAAAATCAATATTTACAGTATTTACGAATCACAATTAAAATCGAATAAATCGCACACCAACTTATTTATCCAAATTTGTATCTATGATTAGTTAATTCCATCAACCTTCTGTCCTATACTCAAAAGTTTAATATACTTTATTATGAACATGGTGCAATCTCCCCTGCAATTGAACAATAATTAGTTAGATCAGTACTGTGCAACAAAAAAATTAAGTATTAAATTAAAAAAAAATTAGAACCACTTACGGTATTGTCTGTCTGGCCGTCGTCATGTCCCGCACGACGACTAATCTGTCCTTCATAGTCAATCCTACATATCTAGCCATCGTAGGGACAAAAACAACATGGATTCTAGATTTTGCTCGAACTGACTCTGTGTCAGGCATGAATGATCGGGGTCGAACACATATATAGTAGACTCAATGAGCACAATCTTCAAAACTATGCAGTGATGATTTACGATCACTGTTATGTACATATGTGTAAAATCCTCCCATGGTTTCCCTCGACACGTGGTCACATCCCTATGGTTCACTTGAGTATATAGTCGGGCACCGCGTACTCCTTGCCAGCATATTGGAGTGACTGGTACTCAATGTCAATGTTTCGTCCGAACTCCAAATTCAATATGACTCGACCAGGACTGTTAAATGACCCCGAATATCTTTGAACCCGATCATGCAACAAGTTCATGACCAAATCGATGTACTGCATTAAGAAATAGCAGTACAAATAGGAGTTATTTCATTGCATAAACAAACAATGATATACACATAAAAAATAACATTATGACTACTTCACTTAAATCGTCGGCAAGCCAAGCTCCTGAAGTGATGATATTGTGGAACCACTTATAAGTATTGGAGATCGTCGTAGTATCGATCATACGGCGGTCCTAAAAAAAGAAATAGAGAAATATTAAAGAAACATATACGAGTAATCCAACGTACTTTACTAATATCATGAATACTAATCCGGACAACATTCTTTTCTATTCCGTCTCGAACGCTTTCCATTTGGCATGATCCACCTCCCGAAATAGGTTGGGAATCGTCCTATCGACAAACCTCCTCCTCTTCATCTCAGCCGTGAAGGGAGAGACGATGTACTGTGATGGCACTCTGGGTCTTTTGCCTACCACCAACTCCGGCATGTCAATAGCACTCTTTTTCGCCTCAGTCACGGTGGTTGTCCTCCCTTCGTACACCTTGGGGATAGCCACCACCTCTGCCCTGACAATCACCACCTCCTCCAGACTCACCTCTTCCTCCATCAACCACAGCTCTCGTTGCCAACGGGCCCACCTTCTCATCCACCCCTCTTGGCACTATCTCCTCAACCATCGCTCCCGTCCCCTCGAGGCCACCTCCCTCCTTTGCCCTCGGGGCCACCCTGTCCTCCACCACCACCCTATCCTCCATGGACTGAAGAAAGGATTCCAATGCATCCTATAACCACGACTGTTGGTGACCCCCATCTCTATCCTCCTCTCGATCACCCCCTCGGTCGCCTTTTCTGTCACCCCATCGTTTGCTAGCTATATCACCTCGGAGTGCTATCACCTCATCCTGAAGGTCCTCTAAATACTCACGCTGCACTCTAACATCATAGGCTATATCCTCGACCCTCCCTACCAACTGGCGTCTTAGAACGTCGACCTGCTCCACCATATCTCGACGCAGCACGTTGATCTGCCCTGATATAACTCTTATCAGCTCTCGATGCAGCGCGCCAATCTTCTACACCATAAATCCAGTCAGGCGATGATATAGATCATCAGAATAATGACCCCAAGGGGAAGGAGGTGATCTCGGATGTGATGGTGATGCCCTGGGTGGAGGTGATGTTGTCGACGGAGGTGATGCCCGATCATCTAGCTCACGTTATGCACAAACTTACAGATTATTAACTTATTTAATAATTGCTAACTCATACAACATATTAATCAATAATTCACTTATCCAATCTCGATCAAGGATCGAATCGGACATCTAGTCATCTTGGGTGTGCGGAACCGCTACTTCACGTACAAGACCCTGCACCTCCTCATCCATCGACGGTGTCAAATGAGTTATTACTTCAAGTTGACATATTGACATTTCAAATCATTAACAATCATGTAATAAGATTTTAAACTATGACAATATAAATCACAAATCTATAATATTCATATGAGGGTTGTCGAGGAAAGCTGATGGGACATCCCTTCGCTCGAGATGCTCGCTAATGGTGCATCCGAGGGCAGCGTGTCTCCCCTCGCTAATGGTACCCAATATGGGGACAGTCTCATACGCCCAGATCTGCAACACATAAATTAGTATATACAAATTTAATAGAAAAAATATTTTAACATTGATTGCGTTAATCATTTACCTGTAGCGCTGGGGGAATCCGTAGGCGTCGTACTTACGCACTAGCTCCGTGGGTTTCGAGTGCGGTCTGATGAAGATATGTATGGTGTCCTCGAAATATCTGCGGCCCCATGGATAGTTATTGAAGCGATCTATGTCGTCAACGATCTCCAGGTAGAAGAGGTCAATTGCAATCTTCTTGTGGTGACATCGCATCATGATCTCAATGATGTAGACTAGACCTAACTTCAGTTTGTCCAATATCTAGTCACACCTCATGATTGCGTCTATCAGCTGAGGTAGAACCACTGCCCACTGTCACTGGAAGTAAGTGTCCTACAGCCAATTTTTTCTCTAGGTCCCACCTCTAGCTGCCTCATCGCCCGTAATCTTTAATCCAGTGAGCAGCGCAAACTCGAACATGGAAAAGCTGACGACTTTGCCCCTGAGGTTGAAGTGAAGGGCATCGCCGTCAACTGGACTCAGCAACCGACATAGAAGAGTATCGATCATCTAGGTTGAAAACTGCAACTCTTTCAACGGGTTCAGAGGCTACAAAAAGGACTAACGCAGCATATCTGCATGCTGGTCATCAAGCAGCTCCAAGACCTGGGTAAAGCTATTAAAGTTACTGTTCCACGTAGCTTTGCCCCGCATCTGTCTTAGCTTTGCATTTAGATGATAATTCATCCTGCAAAAATTGAAACAGAATATTAGAACATTGTACAAGAAATAATAGAATAAATCATAATAACTCCAAATTAATCGAACCGACTCGTAACTACTATACGCAAGACGCAGATTCTTGAAATTTTTACCCTATTATCAAAAAATAATAATTTAAATTTAAAATAATAGTCAAAATAAAAAATTAAAATTAAGATGAAAATATAAAATTATTCAAAGTAAATAAAGATTATGAAAATTTTACATTGTTACCAAAAAGTAATAATTAAAATTAAAATTGAAATTGAAATTAAAAGTTAAAATTATAATTAACTAATTAAATTAAAAATTAATATTAAAATGAAAATAAAAAATTATTCAAATTAAATTAATAATATGAATTTTTTAAATATTATTGAAAATTAATAATTAAAATTAAAATTAAAATTAAAATAAAAAATTAAAATGGAAATTAAATTTAAATTTAAAATAAAATGTTAAAATTATAATTAAAAAAGTAATTTGAAAATTAATTTTAAAATAAAAAATTTGTTTAAATTTAAATTTAAATTAAAATGAAAATTTAAATTTAAAACAAAATAAAATAAAATAATTTAATTTAATTTAAAATAAAAAGTTAAGATTAGAATTAAAAAATTAATTTGAAAATTAATTTTGGAATAACAAATTTCTTTAAACTAAAATTATAATTAAAAATGAAAATTCAAATTTAAAATAAAATAAAAAATTAAAATTAAATTAAAAATAAGAAGTAGAAATTAGAATTAAAAAATTAATGTTAACATAACAAATTTATTTAAATTAAATTATAATTAAAATGAATATTTAAATTTAAAATAAATAAATAAAAATTAAATTTAAAATTAGAATTAAAAAATTAATTTGAAAATTAATTTTAGAATAACAAATTTCTTTAAGTTTGATAAAAAAAAAGTTATTTAATTAAAAATTCGAAACCTTTATTGACTTCAATTAATTTAAGAAAAAAAAAACTGGACCGATTGCAACTTAGTAGTCGACCCATTTAACAGTCGTAGGCCACTTAATAGTCGTCCCCGACTGTTATCCTGCTGTTAACTGTCAATTAAAACCAGCTGTTAACAACCAGGTAAAAGCTAGTTATAAACGATCAGGTTTACCCGGTTGTTTGCCGACTGTTGACAGCCGGTCGGCAATTAGAGGTCTGCCGTCAACACTGAGGAGCTCCATCTCATCGGATTCCACCATTTCCGTCGAGTTAGTTACCCGATTACAAACAACGGAGTTTACCCGGTTGTTTGCTGACCGTTGACAGCCGGCCAACCGTTAGAGGCTTGTTGTCAACACCAGGGAGCTCCATCTCGTCGGATTTCACCATTTTCAACGAGTTGGAGCTCCCTATATACCAAAATGGGTCAATACACTTCATCTATACCCAAATCTAGTTTAAATAATGCCTTTCACACTACAAAAATAATATTCCAATCAATAATCTAATTAAAACTCAACAAAAAATAACCTTTACAATAGGGGATCGTCGGCAACTAGAAGTTCGGGAGTGAGGAAGGATGTCTGGATAACTGATTGTCAATGAAAGTGAAAGCCAAGGTGAAATTTGTTTCCCAGTAGATGGCGAAATTTCGAGAGTGAGGAAGGATGTAGGGGTATTTTTGGAAAATTGTCTTTAAATTGGATTTTCAATTTTATTTATTTTATTTTTATTTTTTTAAATCAGTCAAAGCTAAAGTGAAAATAAAATGGGTCAACCGGCCATTAGCACTGATTTCGTGCATTTAACTCCTGGACAAACGTTGGTAAAATGACAAAATCATTTTGAGATAGTACCATCCAGTCTGGAGTCAAATGCAATGCAACAATCAAATTGAAATCTCAATCTATCAATTGATCTTTGAAATTATCGAGCAGCAAAAAATTCATTTGTAGAGCTTTACACTCAGAGAATTATAGAGTTTGATTTGAAGGATGCATTTGAGCGAGAACGAAGGGATAGAGAACAACACCTTCGTGGTGACTGGCGGGCTGGGTTTCGTGGGTTCGGCCCTTTGCTTAGAGCTCGTTAGAAGAGGCGCTCGTAAGGTTCGAGCCTTTGATCTTCGCACCGAGTCTCCTTGGTCCAATGATCTTCGCCGTCACGGCGTTGACTGCATCCAGGGTATTTTTGCTTTAGACTTTTTTTTTGGGTTCTCAGAATGCATTTGAAATCGATTTGATCGAGAATTTGTATAAAGCTTCAACTTCTTGATTTTTTCTCCTGGTTAATGGAGGCGACTAGAACTGAGAATTTAATTGAATCCGTGCGGGTATATCTATTTATCTATAATTTTCAATGTTTTTTCATGAATTTGTCTAATACACAGAGAGTAAAAAAATTGTGATCTTATTGAAGTTTGTTGCTTTTATTTTTCTGAACATTTTTTAGACCTCAACGTTTTTCATTTTTTTATTAAGCTAGTAGAGGAGTAATAGAGGATTGAATAACTGAGATAATTATTATTCTTTGCTAATTAGTTGAATTAATTATTATTGATTTTACTTAATGTTAGTTATATATCTTGATGATTAGTAAGTGTTGAATGTATATGCACCAGAATACATAACACTGATCAGTATCAGAAATTCAAATGTCTGGGTTTACGACAAGGATGCCACAGAGTACTGGGATCAGAAGTGAGTGTAAAAGAGAACTTATAGATATATTCAATAATCATTTTAGCTTATTGACTATATCGTCATGATATGGTAATTTTCAATTTACCTAGTTTGTCAAGATCTTTCTCATAAAAGAATGCATTGTTTCCCAAATGTGTCATTGAAGATCAAGGACATTTTGTTTGATTTGGCGGTGCATGGGTTATTAGCTTCCTTCCTTCTGCAAGGACTTATGTTAGATCTCACTCGTTCATGATTTGTACACTGTTAGGTGATATTTCTCACAAACAAGATGTCGATAAGGCTTTACGCGGGGCAGACTGTGTCTTCCACCTTGCTTCGTATGGCATGTCTGGTAAAGAAATGATCCAGTATGGTCGTGTAGATGAGATAAACATAAATGGAACCTGCCATGTCCTCGATTCTTGCCTGGATAATGGGGTTCAGAGACTGGTATACGTGAGCACGTACAATGTTGTGTTTGGTGGAAAAGAAATTGTGAATGGAAACGAAAGCTTACCTTACTTCCCCATGGATGACCATGTGGATCCATATGGCCGTAGCAAATCTATAGCTGAACAATTAGTCCTGAAGAGCAATGGGCGTCCCTTCAAGTAAGTAATACTTTCACTTTTAAGCAACACACCCATAATCTTGATGTTACATATTAAGAAATGTACTAAGAATGAACATTTAATATAATGCTTCTCTCAGAGAAACTTTTAAAAGTTGTTTCAGAAGCTGTTTAATTTCCTTGTTATGTGATTTCTCATGATGTGCAGAAAGAAGAAAGGGAAATGTCTCTATACCTGTGCAATCCGTCCCGCTGCCATATATGGACCAGGTGAAGAAAGGCATTTTCCAAGGATTATAAATCTTGCTAAGTTAGGTCTTGTGCCATTTAAAATTGGCACGACGAGTGTAAAAACAGACTGGGTTTATGTGGATAACCTTGTATTGGCCCTGCTCTTAGCTAGTATGGGACTTTTGGACAACATACCTGGGAGAGAAGGACGCCCAGTTGCTGCTGGTCAACCTTACTTCATATCAGATGGTAAAATTGTTGTAAATTTCAATACGATTTACGTTACTGAAAATTGGGCTGGACCAACTAAAACTTTTAAGTACTCAAAATTTGTTTCTCTGATGGCTTCTTAGATGAGAAGGCTGCAGAGACACTAACTTTATCTAGTGGTTGTAGAGATCCAATATTTTCTGATTGATTAATAATCATCAGTGTACGATTTTCTTTCATTCACAGGGTCTCCAGTGAACACTTTTCTATTCATCCGTCCACTACTCAAAAGCTTGGACTATGACTTGCCGAAGATGTCATTAGCTGTTCCACATGCTCTTTTTCTAGGAAACCTATTTTGGGCTTTCTACACAGCTTTGTATCCATGGTTGAGTAAGAAGTGGCTTCCTCAGCCCTTGATCCTTCCTGCTGAAGTATACAAGGTGTCATACATAGATTTTCCTGCTTTTGTTTTTCTTTTATGGTCTATTTATTCCAGATATCTAGTGATCTTCTTGTGTGCCGTCCTCACTGAAATAAATCAACCATAGAAGCATAATATGACGTTATGCTTGATTATGCCTTCTCATTTTTTACATAGGCATATCACCTATAGTTTTATATAATTAATCCTCACGATTATGTCCTTTTTATTAAATGGGATAGTAATGAAACTCTCAGAGAGTTTATATGTGAATGGACTTCTTATTTTGTGATGACAACATGCAATTAGTAGACATTTATACTTTTTTGAGACTGGCAACATATTTCTTAAAGGTTTACCAATATCAAATAAGAGAATAGCATTATGAGCTAATGAAATTCAGAACTTATGCTGCCTATATTTCAGTTAACCATATTTCCAATTATTAACTACACCTCTTTCTTCTATCCGGAAACTAGAAAGCATCTGGCTCCCTTCAATTTCGAGAAATTAAATTTTCTGCTTTTGTAACTTCCAAGGGTTGCACAAATTGGAGTTGCATTCTGAGTTATACCATAGGGTTAGGCTTGTTGTTTTCTATCTTTTGTTGCATTGGGTTTATAAGTCGTCGAATAATTTATGCCACTTCAGCTATGATAAACATCTTGTATTTTGGCAGGTTGGCGTAACCCATTACTTCTCTTTCTTAAAGGCAAAGGAGGAGCTGGGCTACATCCCAATGGTGAGTCCCCAAGAAGGTATGACTGAAACCATTGCATACTGGCAAGAGAGGAAAAAGAGAACACTGGATGGACCAACCATATACGCATGGCTGTTCATTGTGATTGGAATGATTTCTCTGTTTTCTGCTGCATACATGCCTGATTTTGGTCCCATTCCCTTGCTTAGAGCAATCAGCCTTTTCTTTGTACGCTCCATGTGGGGTCTAAAGATGTTTTTCCTTCTAGCCGTAGCAACACATATTGGTGAGGCTATATATGCTTGGAAACTTGCGAAAAAGGTGGATCCTGTGAATGCCAGAGGATGGTTTTGGCAGACTTTTGCTTTGGGAATATTTTCATTGCGTTTCTTGTTGAAGAGGGCCAAAATGTAGGTATATGTCTTTCCCTGTAGCCTGCATGTACCTTAACAGAAAGGAAAATTGATGAAATAGACGCCAGATATAGTTGTACCATTTTGAAGAGGGACACTGGTTTGTCTGAGAGATGAATCCTTTTTTTTATTTTAATTTTTTTTAGGGTCCTCTTTTTCTTCTTTTGTCCCGTTTAACTTCTTGTAATACTATTAACCAGCCGGCCAGCAGATTAGAGGGAGAAAGAGAGAGGGTCCGGAGTCCAAGGGATGGAGAGCCTCCAGAAGTGGTTATATTTAAATTAATCCATATTTATAGTGAGAGAAAAATCTGACTCTCATTCCCAAAAAGGGAGACATTTTTTCTCTGTAGTTGGCTGCTTATTCTTCTATTTGTATAACAATTATTGCACCTCTATGAAAACTAATCATTTTGCAGACATTCTAGCTTTTCATATAGATTTTTGTAGAAATTTGATTTTTGTAAAGTCTGGTGTACAATCCCCGCACAATGGGAGGGCCTACGCCGAATAAAAAAATCATGAGCCCCTTATTGTGAGGGAGTTGTACACATAGCAGCTCTCATTTTTGTGCAAATACTAGTTTTTTTCAAAATTGATTTTCAACCGTACATTCTTCTATAAAATAGTTTTACACGCAAATTTAAAATTGTTCTTTATTTCATAACCATTTGTTTTTCAAAAAAATTATATTTCAAAATACATTTTTTCCCCAAAATATGGAGTTCAAACAAAAATAAGTGCATGTCTTTCTCTCTCTCTCTTCAAAATACATTTTTATTGATTTCCATTATTTTCAAAATGTAATTTTTTCTCTTTCTCTTAAACATACATTCTTCAATAAAATAATTTTATATGCAAATTCAAATTATTTGTTAACTACACATTTTTTTATCACTTTACTATTCTAAAATACATTCTTCATAAAATGGGCCTCAAACATGCTCACTAGTTTACATGATAACAAGATTATGCGGGTTGCTATTTTAATTTGTCCACTTAAAAAAAAAAATTTGTATTATATTTTTAACGTAATGTAAATTCACTTAAATACACAAGAATAATACCAAATAAAAGTCATCACTTCATTCACTACTTATCCTAATTAAAAGCTTTTGGATCTTTTATATTCTTTTAAATTTTACATTTAACGTAAATCCTAATATTCATAGAATATCTTTTTCAATTAAAGTAAAAAATAAACAATGGAAGAGATACCATCATAGCAAATATAAACACATATAGCAATATTTGAAGAAGACTTTGGAAAGATAAAGATTATATTTTATTTTTGAATTTATGTCAATTACTTTGACATAATGCTTTTAATTAGGATATTGTAATCAATTCTTGGATATTTATTAGGGGTGGCAATTGGGTTGAATGGAACCTTAACTTATGGACTGCTTGGGCTCCTTTGGGGATGAGCTCAAGTATGAGTTGAGCTCAAAGTTGAAAACGAAGAGTCGAGCCCCTCGGCTGACGGCCCACGAGCTTATGAGAATTGATCTTGTGTTCTTGTCTTCAAAAAGCCCATCTTCATAAAGTAATATATATATTTTATCTTTCCCAAACTCCATGAATAATCTTCATTTCATTTTTTTCATATCAATTCTCTACAATCTATCTCTACATTTTATAATCTAAATTACTCATTCTCAATTTAATTTCTTATTACATTATTTAATCATCAATCTGTTCAATTCATCCATTATGTTTTCGATTCCTTATATTTACTCACTTCATTCTCAATTCTATAATTCATCTATTATATTCCATACTTCTATTTCATAGTTAAACATTCCAATTTCATTTTATACAAATGGATCCCAATAGTTATGTTGAGGGTTTCAATTCCATAATGATTTTTTTTTTTTTTTTAATTTTTGGCCTCAATAACATTCCAATTCTTAATGATTTAGATGTCAACGATGTGCATGAAAGTAGTCATCCAATTCACTTGAATGATATTGATGAAGAAACGAAACTCGAAATAGTCAATATAAGAAGGAAGCGAAAATTTAAGCCCTTGTTTGATTCCCACTATTTTCAAAATGCATTTTTTCCTCTATTCCTTTCAATTACAAATTATTCAATAAAATAATATTACACGCAAACATAAGACTTTTTCTTATTTTTTAACCACATTCTCTATAAATCTACTATTCAACGATGATTTTTGAATAAAAATGGAGCTCAAACATGCTCTTAATTAAATTGTAAAGTATTGGAAACACTTCAAATTGGTTTCCACGAGTCGTACGGTAAATGGAGTCCAAGAATCTAAAACAGTTTGCAAATATTTGCGAACAAAATTGGCATGGAAACAGGAAATCGGAGTTATCTCAACTGTCACTACAAGAAATGTTGGCCCAAACATAAACTTATTGGCCAAGCACAAACACAACTTCAATTTGATACTCCTCCTGATACTAATTCTACTACACTAAGCATATGGATCTATTCGGAAGAAAATTGTCGTGAATGAATGGTCAAGTTCGTTAACAGTTCTGAGTTGCCGCTAAGAAAAACGAAAAACAAACATTTTGCAAAGTTCGTGCAAGAATATCTTCAACCAAAATAAGTTCAGGTAAGTAGAAACACTTTTCGTTCCGACCGCATTGATTATTTCGTTAGGCACACAAAATAATCAATACATAATTTACAAAAATATGGTGGTGTTATATCCTTTATAACGGATAAATGAGAATGCATTAATAAAAAAAGGTAAAATAGCTACAACTGCTCAGTACATAAACCCACTTTAGATAATGCATAAAATGATAATTAGTTTTAAAATAATTGAGTTTCCTAACAACACTAATAATATATTAAATGCTATTATGAAAATTATAAAAGAATATCGTTTTAAATCTAAAATTCGTAGTTTTATGTTTGAAGTGTTAATAAACCTGTAATTTATAAACTATGTTGGGTTCTTAATTTAGATCTTGGTTGTTTTCTATTTCATATTCATTGTATAAGTCATATATTTAATTTAATTGTAAAAGATAAGATGAAACATATTAGAGAACAAATTGGTAGAATTAATGATGCATTAGAATATATTACTATATCACATAGTAGAAAACAAACTTTCAAAGAATACTGTACAAAATATTCAAGTATACCAAAAAAATTTATAATCGCTGTAGATTATAAATGGAACTCAACGTACCTATTACTCAAATCTTGTGAAGGATATGAAGTACTAGTTTTGAATTTTATAATCCCGACATACAATTGAATCAAATCCTAAGATTCTGTTTGGGAACTTTCTTTTAGAATTAAGCCCCCTACTCAGGCCCCTTTGCACAGGGCTTGTACAGGGGTTCTCACATGGAGGTGGAACCCACATGTGGGATCCACTTGTTGGGTCCACCTCCATGTGTGTGCATCTGTACAGACCTTGTGCAAGCGGGTCTGTGTAGGTAGCACAGTTATTTTTTTTTTTTTAAGTTAAAAGTTCTCTAATAGCTTTATATGATTCTATAAATATATTATCTTTGGTATACTACCCTAGTAGTCCTAAACTTCTTAAATGGCTTTTTCTTATTGCAATAACTTTCAATAAATATACAAATGATCATGATTTTACTATTACATTATATTCGATGGAACTAAAATTTAGAAACTATTGGGAAGTCTTACCTATGTTATTTTCTTTAACAAGTATAATGGACCCTATGTATAATTTGAAAGGTACAAAACATGTTATAAAAAAAATTGCAAATGCTTGAAATTTTGATATTTCAATCACATATTTTAATTTAGAGAACATTTTAATTGAAACGTATGAATTGTATGCACTAAGCTTTGGTGTAAATTTTAGTTGGGCATCCTCCGTACTCCTAGTACAGCTAATCCTGATCAACAAGAGGTGGAATTATTGAATTTATATACAGATATTAGGGATGAAATATTTGATATAAGTTCTTTTACTATGTCTCCGTCATATAATCAAAGTACAAGGAACGTAGGGCCAATGGAATGCGTGCAGTATTATATAGACATTTTATTTATCAAATACTTAGAACAATAGATCAAGCTAATACAATATATTTAGATTTACTTGATTTTTAGAGATGTCCGAACGAACATATCTATTGTTTCTATCATTACCTGCGATCTATTAACACCTCCGGTTAGCATTGTAGTATTGAAATATGCTTTTAGTACAAGTGGTCAAATTCTATTCGATTTTAGAAATTGGTTCGAAGAAGACATTTTAGAAAGTTTAAAATGTATAAAGGATTTGGAAAATGCTCATTATCAAGTCCAAAATCAATAAGCCGAAAATTGTGTCTAGTCAGGTAAATGATATTTAATTTCATCATGTTCATACTTTTTTATTTCCTTAATACTACGCTGTTTTTTAAAACAAAATTATACATGCAATTTTTGTTGTCTCTTTTACATTTTTTTCTTGTTGGTCATTTATCGATTTGGCTGCTGTAATATGATTAATTTCTATCATAGGGGATATAAAAATCCTTTTCTTGTCTAGAGAATAAACAGATGAATTTGATCTTATCAAATCATTTTTGCAAAGAAATTTTGTAACAGGGAAAATAGAGATCGAAATGGGAATACAAATTCTTCCAAAAACTTCAATTAACATTCACAGCCACTATTTTTTATTATTTTTATTTTATCTCCATATACGATTTTTGAATTTTCTATTTATACTTCAAATTTTGATTAGTTTATTTCTAACCTACCTTATTATTTCCCATGTTGTGCTTGAGATTGTAACTTCATTTTGAATTAGTACATGTGTGTTGTTACTTGTTTCGTGAATCTTGGTTAACTGATCGCTCTGGTTTTTTTTTTCCCAATCATTAGATCATTGCTACGTCCATTAGGAGCTTACATCTTGTCTGTAGAATCTCTGTATGTACGCTTGCATTTTGTGAACATTTGTCAGTTGATCTTAGATTATGTTTAAAGTTCATTTATATTTTTAACTGACTGTGATTAATGATTTATGTATTTTAGGAGAACGATATGGACAGTCCAATTTCTCAATTAGAGTTTTTTCAGTCATGTCTACAGAAAAAATCATGAACTTGGCGATTTTGTTGATAAAAAATTCAAGCGTCAAGTAAATATAATTAGAGTTTAAATACTTCATATTTTATTCATATAGTGAGTATGACAAGCATTATTATTATTTTTTTCACAGCATACTTATAAGGCTTCAATCGAGTGCAAGTATGGTACTGTTAGATATAATAAGTCTGAGTTTGATTCCGACTCAAGGATGGATGCAATCAACGGTCCATCTAAGGGCATTGTTTATGGGTTTTGTCCTCGACAACTTGCTTCATATATTCTAGGCCATCCACTTCACCTAGACATTCAATACTTGCATCTAATGAAAATGTGAATAATTTAAAGTTTGAGCTAGCTAATGTACGAA